TTGCATTCGCTCCGGCAAATGACGCCAGTTTCTGATTGGTGGGCATTGGTTCATTGGGATGCATGAACTGCGATCAAACTGTCGTTTCCGGCCGGCGACCGACTCCAATCCCAAGTTCGCTCATCAATTTAGTGAATGCCTCGTACAAGTCAGCACCTCAACCATCTGTATTACTGATCTTTCAGTCGAGTTCGACAGTTTCAGTCGCAAGACGTCGCAGGGTCGAGGTAAATATAGCGCTACGTCTAAAGACACTATCACCTCGTCATTTTCAAGTTGAACACAAAGCCACCTTTGTAAGAACAAATTTGGACAGATGTTTTAGAGTCTTGGTTTAGAAAGCTAAGGCGTTAAACACCCAACTTGACATGACCGAAAATTTGGGTCCTACTTCAGAGGAACAATCATTTAAAGGAATATTCATAGTCCGTAAAGCTTAGAGAGGGTATAGAATCACGCTATTACTGCATTCCTCAGTTTCGTCTTTTATTATTCGGTCCTTGCTATGGTTCTTGCTATCCGATGTTTTTGCTGAAATTATTTGCTGGCGCATTCGTTATGCCGGTTAGAGATAGACACAGGCAGTTGCATTATCCAGATGTGCTTTGAATTTCCAGATGTACTGTTATTTATGCAGAGAGTGACTCTCAATCGTTCGTTGTTGGCTGGAAGCATGAAAGTGCTTTCAAAGACCTTCAGTGTATAGAGGACTTTGCTTTCCGTTTTAGAGTCCCACGTCTCTGCAGCAAATCGACCCGGAGGAGATTCGCTGTCGTGTAATATAAGCAGAATAGCGTTACTGACAAAGACAAGAAGGTCTTGAATGACCATTCCCGACTTAGTAGTCGTTATCGGATAGTAATACCAGTCCCGCGGTGTGTAACCCCTGGGGCTCGATCCCGCGAGCTGTCTGTTAGAAGTCCAACGCCCTAGTTACTGAGTCATGGACTCGTTGTCCTCTCGGTTACGGATGGATATATATGACAGTAGAAGAGCGCTCACCGATTACGCTACGAAACGCATTTGGCCCGTTGTGCCTTAGGGTTCTCTCTCTCGAGCCCTATCAACAGCCGCATAGCGGCACGTGATATCGGAGGCTGAGTAAACGAATACACTGGCCGTACAAGGAGGCGCCTGGAAAAGAGAGTACGTGAACACATATCTGCCTGGCTAGACAGAGGTGAAAAGAAATCGACCTCGAGTTCTGTTCTGGCACATCTTGTCGATACTAATCACCGAGTCGATGCCAAAGAAGCCTTTAAGGTTGTCCACCTGACATTAGCAAGCTTCTCCAGAGGCCTACGCCAACGGGTGCTAGCTACAGCTGAGGCAGTGGCTATACGGCTAGCCAATCCAGTGTTATGCTGTCAGAAGACTCTGACACTGGCGCTCTGTCTTCCGTGGTCAACGCCGATCCCAACGTTACCCCAAACTCCTGATGGCAGGGTGTGTGCACAACGTACTCACAGCCTATGTTCCCCCTCTCCCTCGCCCCCTTGACCCAATGACCACGACACGCCGACCACGCCATAGAACGCTTCGTCATGCGAGTGGCGTGGGAACGATAGATGTTAATTGTCTCTGAATCACTTATAAACCATGTAACTTCCCATAACTTAAACTTCTATGTAACCGTTTTGGCCTGATGAAGAGTTACCGAAAACACGTGTTTGCCAAATGCACTTTTCAATTAAACAAATATTATCCTTCATAGGGACGCGAAAAACACGGCTATTTATTCAGCATTGCCATCTACATCTGCACAAATATAAAAAGTACTCAAAAAGATGGGAGAATTGTCAGGTTCCAGATGTATGCATTAGTAAGACAAAAGAAGACTGGTCGCGTCTAAACGAACATAAGCGGACTGTGAGATGGAAGTACAAATTACCGCATTTAAATGCACACACCGTCGAAAGGGGTCACGAATTCAACTTCCCGGCCGTCATGATAACCGCCCTCGAAGGGAAGCAAGACAGGCAGAGAATTAATCGAAGCCCGAGCCTCGGAAGAGAACTCAGTCGGCCACTGTATCAGTCTGGCGCCTGGCATATCGATTTCTGCGTGGTCGCCTCTAGACTTGCGCCACTGACCGTTGATTGGCTAATACGCACTACAGCTGCCAATAACTCTGACGATGGCCTCCTGAACAAGTTCGAAAGCTCAGGAAAACTAACAAATCGTCCATTCGCTCGACCAGTCTTCTTTTTCCTTACTAACACTCTAATAACAACAGTAATAAAAAAGCCGAATTTTATGGAAATAACACTTGCGCGGCGCAAGTGAGAAGGCGGTGAATGTCTGGTCAGCCACTAAGCCCAATGGGACCTAGGATTAACTCAACACAGTCAACAAACTGTGAAGTAGGGAGGGTATGGGAGAACTACCCCGTGTGAGTTTTCCTTAAAATACAAACATTAGTACGCTCATTTCGAATATTACGGTGGCTCAAAACCCGTGGGATAAATAGTTGTGGGCTAGCGATCTCGAGAGCTGCTCCCCTAGGGAGGGGGTCGGACGGCAGTAGTTTCATCTTAGTGTGTCTTTTGAGGTAAAACTATTGGAAAGGAGATGCGAGACCCATCTTCAAAGCCGCTCGCTTGATGACCAGATTCTGTGTGTCACGCGTAAAAGAGCATTAAACCCCGATGGCCACCGCGCCTCCAAAATTTCCAACCGCCTTAATTTCAATTTTGTGCTCGGGCATGGATGACTGGAAGAGACAGGGCAAAGTAGACGCTCTGAAAGTCTCTCTGACTTTAGCTCAATTCTCAATGAAAGACGGCTTGCGACTTCTGGAAAATGCTGGTCCTTTTTAAGTAGGATGGACCAACTATCAGAGAAGGGAGAGATCGGCTGATCACCAATCACGCTCATTCTCCTCCCTAATCATCCTCACGTAGTCGTGTCTCTAGAACAGAGAGTGAAGCCAGTGCTGTTCTATTTTCCCACACGCGCACAAACCCCCAACGATCCCAGGTAGTACAAACATTTACCTAAGAAGGTAAGTTCAATTGTCCGAAGAAAATTGTCCGGCGTGTTGCATACTGACCACCGCATGAACTCCAGGTAAGTATTCCCCTGATCGAAATTTTGCTGAGATTCAATACGCCGGTATCTACTATCAACGAACCAGACGACAGAAAGCGGATCGTGCAGGAAAATCCAGCGCGCACAAATTAACCCTACGGCTTCCGTGCCTGAAGAGTAACCAACCCATCAGCTGTACGTGTGATAGTTATATGACAGTACCCGTCCACCGCATTAGTCCTGTCCGAACACCGCTCTCCGCCTTCCGTTGACAACACGCCATAACTAACTGCCAACGTAACTTTACAAGCTTCTACCGTTCGACGCGCAGGTTCAATAGCCTTGCCTCTGAACCTGTAAACGCAGAAAGTGGCAGAAACCAGGCATTCTGTAGTATTCAGATTCCCCAGGCGAGGTAGCTCTTGTCTAAACTTTTTTTTCACTGATCGGATTGTGCCGCCGCCGCCGGTGGTGGTGGTGGTGGTGGTGGTGGTGGTGGTGGTGGTGGTGGTGGTGGTGGTGGTGGTGGTGGTGGTGGTGGTGGTGGTGGTGGTGGTGGTGCATTGTGCCGCTGCTTCGTCCTACGGTCCAAATATTCCCATCCTAGTGCGCTCGACAGGTGCACCTGCATGGCGTTGACGTCACTGTCGGCTTTTACTGACGCAGCGGTATTTCCACCTTTTCTCTCATCGTTCAGTTTTTGTGAAGTGGGGTGTGCGAACAACACTGAAAGTGCCCAGAAACATATTCCAACTGCTAGCAAGGACTGATTTTAGCGACGTGGAAGTACAGCCAATCAGAATTTCAGGAATTCGGTCCTTAGGCTCAAATGGCCAGAGCATTAAGCAATCCCTCGTTGAAAACAGCCTCGAGAAAACAATGGTTTGCACGATGGTTCCGCCCCCACACCGCTTCTCGGAAGGTGTTCTCATTTTTCTCAAGCCATGCGAAATTCCTGCCGAAAACAAACTGACCTTAAAGCTAAGCATTCCACTGCTCCCGCCAAAAGTATGAGAAAAAAGGCACCGTTCAGGCTACGCACTTCTTCACAAAGGGCATTGATCATCATACGTGAAAGTACCACTATGTACTTTGCTGCTATTACGTCTACCGTCACAATTACTACTAACAGTCCGAGTAATGGGCTGTATATTCTCAGGGTTCTTATTGTGCAAAAGGTGCCCCTAAAATGAGCCACGCAGCAGATGCGTTGGATCAGCAGGGGGTCCAGTTGGAACGGGGTCCTGCATGCGTTGCTGGGACACTTTGACACACCTAGGTGCAGGCTCGCGTCGCACCAATTGGAATCCATTCCGTCCCTCCCATTTTTCCTGTGTAAAATTCTGGCCAGTTATACACTGTGGACCAGGGGGTGTGCTGATACGTCTGGGTGCGGGTGTCTCGTCGTGCCAGCCACCTGCACCCTCTCTCGCCCCGGGTCTTCATGACTCCGTCATGACACCGGGACCAAGTGGGGGAAGAAAAAGAGAGTGCAGCAGATGCTGCGCAAGTCTACGATCACTGTAAACATGTCCGCGCGCAAGCCACCGTCCCTGCTCTCACCCTACTGTGGGGCACACGGTGGACATCGTCGGAAACGACTGTCAAACTGTCAATGCGCACAGAAATTGTACCTTTAGGGTATACTTTCGGCGTGATTTATACCATGGACCAATGGCAATGACCACACGAAGCAGAAGTCCTCCAGAGCCTGATTTAACCGTTAATACCAAAAGGTGTGCAGGTTTATTGCCGCATCGAGAAGAAAACTAGGAATTTTGGAGGAGGAGGAGG